TTTTGTTGTTTGTTGGGGTTCTCGTACAGGAGGCGACAAGCGACCATTTTAAGAAGAAGAAGATGTATAGTTAAATTTGTGTTTCGCGGTGAAGTGAATTCGCGGGAATTTAAATTTAAACAATTCTTTTTTTCACGGATTTTCATTATTTTATTCAAGTTGTGAATGTTTGTATTTTCTTTTGCTCCTGTGAAGCCGCCCACCCTTTTTTCCTATACATATTCGCCCTTCTCTCCTTCTCAATTAAGTGATTATTTTGGTAAATTATTTTGTTTCTAATTCTCTGCTTCACATAAGTATTTAAGACATCTTTTGAATATCTGCTGCAGTCCACATTTTCATTAATAAATTCACACGTGTCTCTTAGAACATTTTTTTTTTCACTTTAAAAGTGAGATGAAAATCGTGGAATCTTGGAAGTAAAATTCAACTTTCTCGCAAAAATTAATGAAATCCATATAGAGTTATTGAATATTATAAAAAAAAATAACTTATCAATCGATTGATCTTCCACTGTCTCCTCATAATCCGAAATAATTTCGATTGTGTTGTCGAAGAGCATGTCTACTTCCGATTCTTTGTCACTTCCGGCTTCATCGCGGATCACATCATTCAGCTCTTCATCCTCGTCTCTCAAGACTGCAGTTCTCTCCTCAAACTCATCTCCATTACCGCAGGGCATGATCTTTGCGTAGGAATGATCCCCTGTGAAATACGAGAGCACATTTAAGTCAATCAATTTACACATATTTCTATTCTGAAACTTACATAGAATTGCAATCTCTGGGTTGAGAGATTGGATGAGGTCCAGACTCGCCTCTGGATGAGCCCGGCTCAGCTCTGGAGATGTCCCAACTTTCGTCGGGAAAACTGAAAATTATTATAGATGAAATAATAAAAAAGAACAACCTGCATTGTATATAAATCATTACCTCCCTTCTTCAATCTCCTTCTGCACTTCCACTCTCCCTGCAGAGCTCGGGAAGTGGGGTGGAAATCGTCAGGCAGGAAGTGGTCAGAGCACACTCTGATGATCTTCTTCTCAATACCTGACGACTTCTTCAAGATTTTCCTCCACTTCCTCACCACCTTCTCACTCTCGTGGTGTGGGAGTTGGTGGAAGGAGACGTGGGGATTACATCCCTGGATATTCTCACAGCCAATTGCACTGCAATTCATTTTTCTTCAACTTTTGCACAGAAAATTGACAATTAGAACGTGCGAAATGAATGAACAGTTGGTTTATTGTGACTTCGCGCGAAAAGAAGTCACGATGAAAAATAGTATGATCGAAATAACGGCCGAATTTTTCGCTAAAACCTAACCTCAAATAGACGATGTCGCCTCCTGTACGAGAACCCCAACAAACAACAAAAATACATACTCCTTGACATGCAACAGCCAAGAAGCGCCCTCGATGCTTTTCAACACGAGTTCGCCTCTGTGAAAATCAATATAGAAGGTGCAAAATGTATGGTTGTTTCTCTCTGTTCCCCTCTTAAGCCCTAACAATCTGCCAAAGTGGAAGCGGAATGGCGAGCGTTTTAAGACCATTTACGGCATGTTGTGCGACATCGTGCCGTTTCTTTCTACAGCCACAGCTCTTGTTACAGCATTCGGCATTTGCCTCGGTCGTCATTTTAATTTCAGACAACGTCTAGGTGAAAAGAGGTTCGGTCTTCTTGTATTTTGGCTCAATATTCCATCAATCACAGTCAATTTCTGCATCAAATTGCACCCATTCGCGACCATTGTGACGATCTGTGTGCAAAAGTGTTGAGTTTGTGGCTAAATAGTGGGCATATTTCGTGTGAGGTTTTCATTAATCGCGGTGAATTGGTGACAGAGTTCTGTAATTGATCCCAATTGACTGGAGAAACATCCCGGAAAATAGCATTCTCGCATCAACTATTGATTCTATGGTGTGTATAAACAAACCCTGAAGCACTCAAAGCCACGACAACAGTGGAAAATTCACGGAAAAAGCCGTAGGAAAAGCACTGAGTGACCAGTTGAGAAGCCCAGCCCATGTTTTTTCTCTCATTGACAGTTCCTTACCACATATGACGTCATTCTCCATTTATATATTCTCTTCTCAGACGCTTTTTGTCAATATCACACACTCTTGTGCTTAGTCAAATGATAGAAAGAGAGGAAAACTCACCCACTGATCACGATTTATATCGATTTGTGAGCATGCTGGGAATGTTTTGGCAAAATCTGCTGCCCAGATAAATGCACATGTAAATGCTCTCGTGTGTTTGGGAGAATCGAGGTCAGTGAATTGTTACTATGTATGTTCCTAATTATTGTCAAATACCGCGCGCCATTCACTTTTTCCCATTTGGAGCGCATTTGTCCAATCGAATGGAATTCTCCAGATAGAAGCATAATTAAACTTGACGAGGGAGTGGAAAATGGGCATTTATAAGGTAAAGCATGAGCACGACAACCTCTATATAAATTATTCTTAATTAAATACAGAAGAAAAGAGCGTCACTCTGGGATTGGTTTTCATCAGCAATTACAGTGCGAATTGGAGTGTTTACCAACTATTTTTTATCAGGCCGTTATGTCACAGAGAGTAGTGTCTTTTATGGTATTTTATGAGCAGCATTATCAAGTGTCTCAGTCGTCTCAGTGTGGTTGAATAACGTGAAATAACATCTCTTAATTCCAATGGAGACATTCTCAGTGGAAATGTTTGCATTGATTTCTCAGCCACTTCATTGAAGCATCCTCGTTAAAATTACACTTTTATCGAGTGACTGATAAAAATCCTTGAGCAATTATCTTTCTTTTATATCACAAATGGGTTAAAAAATATTGATAATTTTCAGTGGCACAAGGTTATCATTGAATGTCTGTTTAGTCACAATGCAAACTCTGCAGATGGCGAATGATTTCGCGCGCATTTCTTGTAGATGAAAATCCTCTTTCTCACACTCTTTTTCCTCTCATTTATTATGTGCTTTAATACACTAATTTTTGAAATCATCACAAATGAGCAGAAGCAAAAAAAAGTATTGTTAATTTTCTCCCACATTATTATTATTTTTCTTCAAGTGCTTGTTGACATCAGAGATCGGCGCATTGTGGAGAAGAAAATGCAGAAGAAATTTCCCTCTGCAAATTGAAAACACTAATTATGGAAGTTATAATATTGTGAATTTACAGCGCACGTGAAAGCAATATTGTGGCCTTTTCATTTGTTAAATACACCATCCATTTTCACTTGATTTTATCGGGAAACCGGCGTGAATTTTCACTCCAAAGATGCGCAAATCTCGTGTACTTTGAGAGAGATGTTGACAATCATGATGTCTATTTGACCACGTAATTTATTCATAAAAGCTCAATGAGGCGAAATAAATATAAGTATAAATGAATTGGATGGGCAATTGCTGTGGTGTATTTATAAACATGTCGTATTTATTATGTAAATATTGGTAGAAAATACTTATGCAAGACTTTCCTTTTAATTAACATTACAACTCGAAAGCCACTCCGCCATCCATATCGTCCACATGAAATACAAATATTATTCTGTCCATCCACAATTACTTCACTCTCTTATCTCTCCTTCTCGCCATTTCCATTTTTCTTTCGATCTTGGCAACGCGCGGCCGAAAGTGTTGTACTCTTATTATTTCTTTGCCGAGCAAGAAAGAGAGACGATCTGTTTTGTGTTGATTTATCACGACGCGCGGAGACTTTCACCATTGATAGTGTGTGCGATTTGAGGGGAAAAAAAATTGTGCCTTACGTGTACAAACTATTGATTATATGGCAGCCAATTGCTGGAAAGTTGAATGCATTGGTCGGCCTGAGACAGGCGCGTCTCTCGTGCCCAGACGACTCCCACGGCGCGACGCGGAAGCGGAGCCTCCAGACCGGGTGTCTTGCTGAGGAAATTGCGCCGCGCTCTGTGTCACGAAGGCGCACACAAAGCGCTGAAGCACAGCTGAGAGACAGGCCGAAGACAATGGACGCTGAAGACATGTTCTTCCCTATAACTTTATATTGTATCTGGCCGTGTCATCAGGAATTACTATTCCTTTGTTCTCTCTGCTTTGCGAGATAGAAAACCATCGCGCAACAATGGGACGTCGAATGTTAATGCAATGGACTCTCGTGAATGCAAAAAAAAACAGAAGTTGCCTCAACCGAAGGGAAAAGACAATTAACTTGAGACTTTTGGGCAAGAGAGTTTTAATATTTTACCACTCGACAATGGGAAAAATATCTTTCCGACAATTTCGCCAAAGCACAACCCGTTCCTCTGCTTGAATACTTTTGTGGCTTCTCGCAAATGCCCATAAATAATGCCTCAAGACTCTCTCAAACGGTGTCACGCGGGAACTTTCCAATGCTGAAGCAAAACAATCGATATAGATTTCATTTCCATGATGCCCTCCAAAGGGTCATTTGGAGCTCAAGAACGCTTTTGTAGCGTAAAATGTCTTGGGAAATCCATTGATCTGTGATTTTCCACTCGAATGCAATATATAGAGATTATATTCTCTGTGTTTTCTGTGCATTAAGCCAAGAAGAGTGGCTCAAAGAGAGGGAGATTAAGAGTGGCTTTGATGTGAAAATTGGCAAATGCATTAGCACTTTAGTGTCTTCTCGAGAGACACAAACACATAATGCATTTTCACGGTCACACCAGAGATGATTGGCATCATCACAACCTTCCCAAAATGCCCCCCCCCCCCCCCCCCCCCCCTGAAAAAGCATAATTTTCATGAATGAATAAATGCTCTCACTTTAACAGTTAATTGACGATGGCAAAAGTGGCAGCGCATAATTTGTCTGCGCGATGCCGAAGAAAATTACAATATTGGCAGCACAATGACGTTCCCATTGATTTTTGAGTTTAGTGGAACGAAAAACTGTTGCGTGTTTTTCTCCTTTTCGCCAAGTTATCAAGTTTAAATCTTGTTTTTTGTTATTTCTCTGGCGCACATAATTTGACAAAATCAATTTTCTCCCCACAGACTTCTTCAACAACGAAAACAACAACTATGACAACACCTGCGAAGCTGTATGGCAAAGATCTGAGTGAATACGATGAGGTGGATGTGGATGAACTCTTGGCGCAATTGTCGCCAGAGGAGATAAAAATATTGGCAAAGGAAGTCGATCCGGATGTGAGTTTAATGTCACGGTCAAGGTTTTCGCACTGTCTTTACGCTAAACTTGTGGTTTTTCGTCTCTTTGTGTAGGACAATTTTCTGCCGCCGAACCAGAGGTGCAATTATGAGTGCGAGAAAGAGCCAACGGGGCCGCTGAATCGCAAGAAGCTCATCGAGCACATCAACAAACAGGCCCTGGAGACGCCGGATGTGCCCGAATTGGAGCCCTATGTCAAGGGGACAGTTCGTGGCAAGAAGGTGAGATGGAAATTCAACTCAAGGGGAAGATATTGTGGTCAGAAGTGGTGTACAGCTCAGCCAAGGGCTCAGAATTTGCAATATTCAATTCACTGATGCTTTGAAGTTCAGAAAGTTCAATTTTTGCTAACCAGAACTGAATCTTGATTTATTTTTCTAGGTTATGTTACTTAAAATAGAAATTCTTGCACTGTAAATAATATTATAATAATTTTATTGATAGATTTAAGCATTTGTATTCAAAGAAAATCGTAATTCTGGAAGTTATGTGGTAAAAAATAGTGCTAAAGTCAAACATAACCTCAATTTCTTTCACTTAACAGCTGCAATTTTGAGCTGAAAAGATTCTAATTTCGATTCTTGAAGAACATACAGTGTTATTCTAAGATTTATCATTGAAAAAGATCCCTTAAAATGCATTTAGAGGAAGAAAATCATGAAATATTGTCTGAATACTACAGTTAAGGTTAAGGTTAAGGTTGTGAGTTAGATTTCAGTTAGTTTCTAGTCAATTTTCAGTGTGATAAAACCACAATCAGTTGCGAATTTGATGAATTATTCTTTTCTGAGTCTTTTGAGAATTGTTAGGATTTTTTCATGAGAATTGTGGAAGTGATGTACAGATTTTATCCACACAATCTCTCCCTTGATTTGACCACTAGACGTTTTTCGTGCTATTTTTAAGATCGCCACAATGTTTACATTATTGCATAAGCGAATATCGGCTCGTGCTTCGACTCTGTTGTTGCATAACGCCTGGCAATCAAACAGTTTAAGGACAGTTAGATAAAGTATAGTAACTGCAAGTGGTGATTAGAGAGGAACAATTAAGTGCTGCAGCAATGAATCGCGACGTAATTGTCATCCATGTCCGGATGGAAGAGCGATAAAATGAGGGGGAAAAGTTTTCTCATTTGGCTAATCGAAGTTCCGTGTCTTTTGCAGTGGATGCCGCCCCCGCCGGAGGAGAAGGTGCGAGAGGCTGAGGAGCAGATTGCCATTGATTTGGGTGATGAGTACGAACATGCTCTCAATGATGCCACTCAGGAGGAAATAATCGATTTGGCTGGTAAGAGAGAAGAAGAGCGAAGAAGGTTGAGAAGAAGGGAAGAAAATGCCTGAAATTTCCTCTCGCTTTTTCAGCTATTTTGGGTTTCCATTCGATGATGAATCAGGATCAGTACCACGCGTCGTTGCTGAACAAGGGTCAGCCAATCGGCTTGGGCTGGGATGGCATCACAAAGGCCAGTGCACAGAAGCTGTTCCCGAATGAGCCGCCAAATGACACAGACATCGACGAGTCCATCAAGCGTGTCAAGGATGACGACCACAAGCTTATCGAACTCAATCTCAACAACATTAAGGTACGCATCAGAGCCCGGATGGACAATATAGAGGGATTAATGATCCTTTCAATCCTCTTTTCGCAGACTATTTCTGATGATAAATTTGAGAAATTGTTCAACGCTCTGACGGAGAATGAACACTTGGAGGTTCTCTCGCTAACCAATGTCGGATTGACAGACAAGACTGCCCTTCTCCTGGCTGAGGCCATTGAAAAGAATAAAACACTTCGTGTTCTCAACGTCGAGACAAACTTCATAAACCCTCCCGTAATTGTAAAATTAGTTAAATCACTGCTGAATGCAAAGAGTATTGAGGAGTTCAGAGCTTGCAATCAGGTGAGTATTATTTGTTTAATCTTATCTCGCTCTATGCAGCTTTTGTGGCATTTTTTCTTTCGAATCTTTATCACACATTCTTTTTTTTGCAGAGGTCACAAGTGCTCGGGAATAAAATCGAAATGGAGATAACTGAGCTGGTGGAGAAGAACTCTTCACTGTTGCGATTAGGTCTTCATTTGGAATTCAATGACGCCCGACATCGCATTGCGGCGCACCTCCAGCGAAACATTGATAGGAGTAAGTTGACATTGATTGCCATCATTCCCATTCATATTGGTTTCTTCTCTTTCATTCCCCAAATCTTTGGTGGTAGTTTTAGCTGGTTAATCGTCAATTGGTACAATTTGAGTATTTTTCTCTATTTACTTTAGATGTTTTCAAATTCTCTTTTATCGTCCAGGATTGATTATTATTATTATTATTATTATTGAAATTGTGGTTTTCTTTTACCATGACTTTGCTTAAGAACAAAATTATTATTTTCACCTGTGATTCACCTCAAATGTGAGTCACACAAGAAAAGAAGGTCTTGAAGAATATTTCCTCGATTTATGGTTCCACTCTGATTCACTCTAGAACAGACTCTAGAGAGAGATTTTCTCTTTTGTAGCTTCAATGTATGATTTTTATACTGTGAATTGCATATTTAGGTGATGGGGTAGCGGCTAATGAAATCGTGGATACCACTAATCATAAGAAATCACCATCACCATCATTTACTACGACTCCATAATCAGGGTTCATCAATCAGGCCATCAAAATCATCGCAATAATTGTAATCTCTCCATATCAAATTGCGACTCACACAATCAAAAAAATCGCACGAAAAATATGGGTCAAATCGTAGAAAAAAAACACACAAAATAATAAGAGAATATTTGTGACCCACGCGCGTTATGGATCTTTGAAGGTAAAACCGACCCCAAATGTGGATAATTCCCTGGCGTATCGACCGATATATAATATCAACCAAGCTGAACAGCATTCATCTCCGCACTAACAAGACTCTTCATGTTGGATTAGTGTATTTTCTTTTGGGAGTTTCTTAGTTACTCGTCAATGTTGTTTCTTCGTGTTGAACGTATAATTTCTTGGGACAGTGTTTGTTCTTTACACGTTTAGATGTTTATGTCTCCAAGATGAAAAAATTGACGCATTAAGTTATATTGTTGATTGCCGTTTCCGGCTGTTGGCATTAAGACAGAGTTCATCTTTAAGAAAGAAAACCTTGCACAGCTCATGCCAATTAAGTGTGAAATCAGGAGCGAGATTATTTAGTTTTTTTTTTTCTTTTCTTGAATGGCAAATTCTACAAATTTTATTCACACAATTATAATAATGCCTTACTTAAAGCCCTCTCGTGAATTTTATATAGTTGGATTTCTCATTATTTTCATGTGTGTTGATTTCTTTCTCAGAGAGAGACAGAGAAAATGTGTTTTCCTGTGCCAAAAGACACTTTTGTCGGAAATTTCTCAAGTCAATTAATTTAATGATATGCCACACTTGTCTCCTTGTTGCAAAAGTTGGCTTCTTCACCCCGTCGTGTGTGTGTTTATTTCCTCAACCTAGAGAAAGAGAGAAAGTATTTTTAAATGAATGCACTTAAGCCACACATTAAGACTATTCCGCAAAGCCCTTTTGTCCACCGATTTCCATTCCCTTTTTACACTGTGAAATTTATCTATTTTATTGTGAGCACGCAAAGTAATATTCCAAGGGGCAGATATTATGGTCAGAAATGGTGTACAACTTTCTGAGGAAGTGTTAGGAATTGGAAGTGTTAAAATATCCCTTGCAAAAGCTTCTGTTTCAACAAATTGATGCATTTTCAATATGATTTTGCTGAAAAAATCAATTTTATCGCTTTTCTAGGTTATGTTACTGATTTAAAATCAATATCAAACCCTCAAAATGATCAAATTTGCATTCAATCTTAGAATATTTCTCTTTTTCTTAGCAAAATTGAGCATTTTTGTTTAAGAAGATACATTAAAGTCAATCATAACCTCAAACAATGTCATTTCAGTCTAGAAATTTTCACGATTCGTGCTTTAAACTGGCAAATTTACCTTAATTATCTAGTAGAATCAATTTGATATTCGCTATATTTACTCATTTTCAGATTTAAAAAGATTAAAATTAGATGAAAAATGATTTTTAAACTAGATTTATAACCTCACAATTTGATCAAAACTTTTCTAAGCATTTTCCAACCTGAATTAGATTGTGATAAGTTAGTATTGAATCGAAAAAGCGATGGAAAATGCCTCTCAAGACGTTCAGAAGTGTCTTCAGAGGAAATGCGGAAGTGTCAGGAAGTTGTGTACAGATTTAGGGCACATTATCTCCCCCTTGGCATATATTCAACGACCATGTCATTATAATATATCGTTTCAGTGTTCATTTTGATATTTTTCGACTTTATTTTCGAGTTCAATAAAACAAACCAATAATTTTCATGTTGTTTTTTCGAATTCCTGTCCTTTATATCATTTGCTAAATTGTTCTTTCTCTTGTAATTGTGACCGTTGTTGCTGGCGATTGATTGAAACGACGCGCGATTGTAGGTCGTATTTCGAAATTGCACTCGCATCTGCCGAGATTGAGCTTGACCGGTGGGAATGGGGGCGCTCCGAATGTCATTCAGACGGCGGAGGTTGAATTCGATCCGGATAATGTTGTTATCAAAGGGACGCCGGACGACGATGACGACAATAGTGACAAGAAACGAGGTGATATTGATACGTTTATTAAGGCACAACCACTTGAGTACTCCAACATCATTCACTCGTGAGTCTTTTTTCTCCCAAAAAAAAATCAACAATGGTCAGAGTTTTCCAGTTGTATAACTTGTGAATTTGATGAATTTTTTTTATGTCTCTGTCCTATGTGAGTTGACATGATGATTCCGTTGAGAGAAAGAGAAAAGGACCCACAAAACACTTCACATTTGAATGTGAATCAAACCCAAGAATTAAGTGTTGTCAATGTGAAATCAAGACATGAACACACAGTGCGATCACTGCCCAGAAAATATACTCATCAGTGTCTCCCCAAGAAACCCGCACAGCCCTTGTGAGCATCACACTGTGATCCGTAACTGTGTCTGGAATGATCTGCGAAGATGTTTAGAGAGAGAGAGAATTTCTGTGCCTCAGAACTCATAATTGCTGACTTGTTCATTACACTTTGACTAATTGATATCGTTATGAGTTTATTCGTTTGTCCCCTAACAAAGACCAGGATTTGATCCACACACTTCTGCAATAAGAATTTCTCCCCACAATTCCCTTATGTTTGCAGCATTTTCACGGCAATTTCCTTGGCAATTTCCCTGCGATGCACATTGAATTCTCCGTGGAATTCATAATATGTGAATTAATACACATCACAATTTATTTACATTTACTTCGTTGGAATGTTCTTAATGCATTTTGAGACTAAAAACAACACTCTGCAAATCGCGAAAAAATCGCCGCAAATTCCTCAATGTTGGTGAGACAATTTTGAGGATTTTATACGCAAAAGGATGTCGCGCGAAAAGTACCAATTTCATCCTCAAATTTTCCCCAATTTTTTTTGTTGACTGATTTATTTTATGCATTTTGTGTATGAAATAGTTTGTGTGACAATTTTCTTTTTGTTGCAGTACGAAAAGATCTTAACTTACGCCTTCAGTTCAGATTTTTTAATAATCTTCATAGGAAGGGAACTATGATACAGTGAGCGAAGGTACAAATTGCCATCTTGAGAAGAAGAATATTGGAAAAGCCATAATTGACTTTCCTTAAAAAGCAGTTTTTTTCTATTTTTTCTGACTATAACAAATTAAAAACCGCGTCAAGTATAAATAGTTTAAAAAAAGCAAGTTGTAGCTGAATTTGATGGAAAGTGTGTCAGCTTTGTGGATTTTTTTTTACTATCACAACTCTTCAGGAATTCATTGTAAAAAAAAAGAAATTCTATCTGTAATAATTAACTTAATGACCAGCTTTAGTTAAATGCTTGAACACACTTTGATTACAATAATAAAAATGGTAATATTTCGCTCAGAATGAATAACAATTGATGATGTCCAGATTTAATAGAGTTGATTTTTAATTCAATTTTTGATTGGGAAAAGGATATTTTTCAAAACACTATTTTTTCTCCTCTATTGGATTTGGACACGAGCATGATTTTGCAGCATAGCAAAGTATAAAAAAAGGCTTAGATCATTAATTACAATTGCAATACAAAACACTCTCTTCAAATTGTCTTTTTTTTGTCTTGGAAAATATTGGGTTTGAAAAACATGAAAAAAAGTCACTTCAATCCAACAAACTCAATCATTTGTATATTTTTCCTGAATATATATTACTTGAAAACTGTCTTCATTGGATCATTTTTTAATATCTTCTAGGCTCTGCTAATTTATAAAAAAAAAAACAGAAACTCTTTGAGAGGGATAATTTTGAAAGTTCGTAGAAAAATTCAATTGAATTTATGTGTAAAGTTAAAAGTAAACTTTGTTTAAAAAAGATGTTTCTAAATAATGTAGACAAAAGGTTTCTTTTTGTAGTTAGATTGGCAGGAAGAGAAGCGCTTCTTTTGAGCAGTATTATTTATGAATTTACTAAACAAACAAACTGATGGCTTTTTGAACGTGAAATTTTCCTATTAATCCTCCTTCTTTCAGCTGATTATTTAGGAACAGGATATAAGAGACTTTTTTCTGCTCCTCTCTTTGCCTAACCACATTGCGAAAGAATTGAGAGAATCTAAAATAACCATTTGTTTGTTTTCAGCACCAAGAAAAATTAACTAACTCAATTTGTGTGTGTGAGACTTCAAAAAGGCGACAATATTAATGATATTTTTAAGCTATTTCTGAACATGTTCAATAGGCAACTAACCAAGGAATGTCATGGCCTTCAAGTCGCCCAATTTATTGACAGATTCTTAATTTCCTGCGCGCGATATTTTGTATATTTGGCTTTGGTTTTTCAACCCTCACAAAGTGTTTTGCATGTGAAATTTTGCTGCGATTCAATTAAAATTTCCTCAACTTGTCACTCTGTCAGTTTTTTTTCCTGAAAACTTTGTGTGTTTGAACATATTTGCGACTGTCGAAGAATCTGCTGAACGACAGAGTCGTGATTCAGAGAGGAAATTTTAATAATATTGCCATCTAACCATTTTTTGCGTTGATATTTTGTCTTGTTAAGTGCGTACTGAAAAAAAAATTAGAGAGAACGAAAAAAGATCACTTTGCATTTTGTTGTTGAGATGAACAGAATAACCCCAGAGAGCTCCTTTTTTACGATAATTGACCATTTATACTGTTTTGCAGTACGCCAATCCCGTCTGAACCAGCGTAAATAAAGTGACATCTAAAATTCTAAGACATGAAACAGTACGTACTATCCTTTAATTAATGGTGTCTTTGTCATTTGCATATCAAGTTCGTGTCTCGCTTATCATGCCGCACAGTAAGAGAGAATTCGTCACGAAAGAGCACCGCATTTGGCGCAAATTCACTCTTCAACTCACTTTTCAGCATGATTTTATGATTTCTTTTTACTCAATTCTGTATATCTTGTCTTTATTTCTTGCAGTAGCTTTGAATCTCATACATCTTCAAAAAATGCGCTCGCATAATATCGCTTTTGCTTGCTATCCGCAACAGAATTAACTGAACATAGAGAATTTGGAAAAGAGGTATCATTTTGTAGGATGTTGGAAAAGTGGTGGATTTTATCGCTGTTTTATTTCATTTTCTCATGTTTTTGTCACTTGAAGGTTCAGGGTTGAAGGTTAATGCTTCTTTTGGAGCGTTGGACATTCTCATATTTCAATGATTTGTATATTGAGAGGTGAAACGGAATTTTTACCATTGATAACATTTTGCTTTATAGCTTATCAACTCTTTATATTCATCTGTGAGTCGTTGCAACATTATAAATATCGTATTTCAGTTTGTATAAGTTATCAATTTGGTGATGCAACTTTATGTTTTCATAGCTTGAATGAAATACAAATGAGAAAACGTTGCAAAGCGAAGTTTGAGAGTTTATTTGATAAGAATTTTTGCTGTTAAAATGAAATTTCCTTGCGGATACTTTGAAGCTGTTGTTTTAAGGGCAAAATTATCCAACTTGAGCCCAATTTTGTGGAAGAAAAAGACAAAGGAACAATAATTAGTGTCGAAATGCATTCAATTTCCCTGGAAAGAATCGAAAGACGTCCGAAAATGTGCACAAATTGCAATTAAAATCCTTTAAATATGTGTTACTCCTCGGTTTTTATGTGAATTGACGTAAAGCGTCAACATTCGTAAATGTTATGAATCGTAATCTTGCAACACCTTTTTGTCAATTCATATTTTTGACAGTTTTTTTAGAAAATGTTATGAAAGTAAAGTTGCAACGACGTCATGATCTTTCTTTTTGTGATCGTAGATAATATTATGGTTTATTTATTTACTTAATATCACACTGGAGGAAGAGGAAAAGTGACAATATTTCTAGAGGCGTAAGAAGAAGCAAGTTTTTGGCTTCCCTAAAAGTACTGGCAAAAGAATGTTGATGTGAAAACCGATAAAATACGCGCGCGCAGATTTATTTTACGCCCATAGAAATATATATCTTTGAGGCACTTGGAAGAAGAAAACTTCTCTGCAGACAATCTACTTCCAATAAATAAGAGTCTAATTAAATTTTGGTCTATTTTTGTAGCTGGTCGCCAACGTCGCATGGGGCATTGGACAAGGAACTACACTGTTGGTCTGTGGTAGACAATCTTTCGCAACAACCAACTTTATTATCAACAAGATTCATCTTTATTATTGGCACATCAGCATGATTTTTACAAATAACACTTTCCTCTCTATATAATATTTCTTGTTCCTGCGCCCGTTCTGCGGGAGGGAAAGGAGGAAGAGATCTTGGGATTAAGACGACAGAGTTTTTGTCACTTTTTTTTGAAGAGCCATTCGCTAATGCGTGAATATTTCATAAGAGAGTAAAGAAGAGCAGGAGAAAGATGTTTTTTGATGCTACTGCCAAAATCACTTTGATTTCTTAAGTAAATATATACTCTTAGCAATTTATGTTGTCTCTTTTGCTCATCATCGAATGCCAATTGAAGCCCAGTGTTGAGCTTGGAATTTTCATGCTTGTCAATTATCAAAGTTCATTGCAGATTGAAAGAGAGAAGAAAATGATTAAAATACGGCGGTAATTTACCTGTGTTCGACAACGATTTGGCAATAATTTATATTTACTGTTGTATTTAGCAGATAAAGAGAAAGCAAGTTTAATTGTAATATTCTTTAAGTTAAATTATTTGTAAAGAGAGGAAAAAGGAAGGAAAAAACAACATACAAAATGAGACTTTCAAAGTAACATCCTAAAAACAAATAAAAAATAAATAGAATGGGTTTATTTGTTCATTATTACGAGAGAAAATATCACTTGTTAAAGCGTTAAATTAAAACGATTTATCAGTAGTTGCAAATGATAGACAAGAACACATGAACAAAAAGAGAGTTCTTCAATTCCAATTATGACGAAGGACTGTACAAAAGGATAATTTTTACTGAGAAGAAAATGTTGTGCGGAAAGAAAGAGAAGGAAAGTTTCATCAAACGGACTCTTATTTTGGCGAAAATTGTTTAACAAAAAAAAACTAAAAGAGATTCTTATTATTATGAGGCATTAAATGGAAAATTTGCAATGTGATATCCTGAAAAAAAATTTCACTCTTAACTAAACAAACCACTAAAAAAAACAAACCAAGGAGAGGAACTTTCATTTTTAAACTAATCTAACACTAGAGACAAATTGTCGAAAAAAAAATCCTTCGATTAATCATTTGCATTCTACTTAACATAATTTATAAATTACATTAACTGACAAATTGAGGAGGGAATGAAAAAAAGAAATGAATTAGCATCACAGAAAAGCATCAGACAGAGGATTAATTGAGATAGAGAGAAAATCATTTACAGTGTTTTTAAATCTTAAATTCTAATTTCCTATTTGATAAAAGAAAAATATCCCAATGACTTCATTTGAAAAGAGAATTGTTGCACGTGATATTTTTATAAAGGACAATTCGTAACGGCTTTTCGATTGAATATCTATCACAATCTTCAATGATAGTTGTTAGTCGATTTTCAAAGTGCTTTTGTAGGACATTACAAATACATTACTTTTTATTATTTTCAATAAGACAGTAGATCATAAAACTTATAAATTCGACATAATTGTAGCTTTCATAGTTACATCATGAATGTATAAAATATATATATTTAACTGTCGACAGAAAAGGAAGGACGATTATTGTGTAAAAGCTACTCTATGTGCATAAAAAGCCAATAAAGTGGGAGAAAACTGATGGAAAGTGTTCTTAATTGAAGCATTTCTCTTCTCAGCGACTGATTCGGATTTAATGAAAATTCTCATTAATTTCCAACGACAATTTTCATTGTAACTTCCTTAAAGAATAAATTTTGAAATGCAATTAATTAAACAGCAATCTTTCAATTGCTTCTGCTAAATGCGCAAAATTCACATTGAATTTCTTACAAGCATTGCATGAAGACCACGTGTGCAGAGTCGTTACGATTCAAACGCTTGTGGGCATTTTCAAACTCTGGTATAAAAGTGGGTGTTATTCCGCCATCTTTGCTACTTTCGCCCGGCGAATCTCGACAAATTTCGACGTACCGCAAAACGTAAACAAAGTGTGTGTTGAGGAATGGCTTCAGGAGGAAATCGCCGCCGGCACCACAAAGGGGGTGGAAAATTCACGCCCACTCAAGTCTCCGTGGACGAAAACAATCCCATTCTTCTCGCCTTCCAAGGATTCGCGCGCGAACTCGATGACAAGCACGATCGGCACGAGAGAATCGTGAAGATCAGCCGTGACATCACGATTGAGAGCAAGCGGATCATCTTTCTGCTGCATACCATCGATCAGCGGAAGGACAATACCAAGCAGGTGCTGGAGGAGGCGCAGCGCAGACTGGAGGAGCTCTGCACCACGCGCTTCCGAGAGATTGCCAAGGAGCTGAGCGGCAGGGATCAGTACCAGTATTCCAGAGCCTTCTCGCCAGGGCTTCAAGTGCGCAACGTTTGCGGTGCATTCGCGGGACAGTTTGATCATGAATTGTTGCTTGTTTTTGCAGGAATTCGTGGAAGCGCTGACATTCTTCGAGTACATTTCCGGGAAGGACTTGTCCGACTGGTCGACGCTGCAGGAGCGGCTGCGACACGATGGCGAGGAGTGCCTCGTGCAGCCCATCGAGTTCATGCTGGGCTTGGCGGACATGAGTGGCGAAGTGATGCGGCGCTGCGTGAACTCGCTGGGCTCCGGCGACACGGACACCTGCTTCGCCTCCTGTCGCATCTTGCAGAGCCTTCACGCGGGCTACCTCGGCCTGGGGCCCGCGCACAGCCGCGAGCTGACCCGGAAGATGTTCACGCTGCGCCAGAGCGTGATGAAGTCCGAGGCTGTGTGCTACAATCTGCGCGTCCGCGGCAAGGAGGCGGCCAAGTGGGGCGCCGAGGAGAACTTCCTGGACAAGAGAGGCGACGGCAGCACTGATGACATCGATGAGGGCTTCTTCTAGAGGCTTCTGATGGAAATAAAACACCCAGCAAAGCCAACAAAGAGTGTTATTCGAAACACGGTTTTCTGAGCCAATAAAGGATGAGTCATAAACCACGCAAAATTGCCGTGCAGGATTGGAATAAAGGATTCAAGTCACATTTCCCAGAATGCATATTTATAAATCTACTGAAATCCACCGTAGATGAATTTTCATTTGTACACGTTTTCCCGCTTTTACTTATTTTCAAATGACGTTTTTTATTCAGCAAACCTGCAAACATGAATGGAATATTTCCTCCCACTGTGATTTCTGCCTTCATTTCATGGGATATTTTCACTCGTGCGTTTTCTCGGCGTCATCAAATTTTGAAAGTGCCTTTAGGAAGGGATATTGCCTAGAAATTCCGGAGAAAATTTCACAAAGCATTTCCTGGTTTTCCACCCACAATTATTACTGTTGAATGAAAAGCTTCGTTTTTTTATGCCAATGTTATGGTTTCGCTGTTTTCGTATTCTTTTTTCACATGAGAAAAAAACACGATTGTCGAGATGTTGGAGTGTATTTGATGAAAATCCTCCTGTAGTTGGTTTTGCAAAGCGAGAATTCCTACAAAAAGAAAATAAGTAGATTTGCAAGGAAATAAGAAAAAGCTCAAGGAGATTAATGAAATGCTTTTTGAATTGTGAAACATGAGTGGAAAATCCATTGCAAAATGTCATAAAGGATGTCTTTTATTCTTATCATTCCTATAAGAATTCTTAGAATCAGTATTTCTAACTCTACGCAATTGCTGTACATCTCTTCAGCGCCGGCGGCTGTGTGCGAAGTGGTTAAATGCAGAATATTGCGCCAATAAATAAGCCAGGCCGCGCGTGTCCTTGTACTAGGATTGCGGGCTGGAGTAGCTCTCCCAGGCGTGCGGATACTGATACGGCACTTCGAAGTAATACATGTTGGCGGGCGACTCGGGGAGCGCCAGCATGGGATTGAAGGCGCCGGAGGAGTGGCAGGACGCCACGTCGCCCAGGCCGGCGGGCGCTGGCGTCGGCTGCAGCTCCAGGAGGTTCGGCTCGTCGCCTTTGAAGGCGTACGGGACCTTCTTGGGCGCCGCCGGCGGCTCCAGATACTGCTCCAGCTCCTTCGGATCCACATCCGTGTCCAGCGGCTGCGGGAATTGCGGCGCCGGCGGCGCGGCGGGCAGATAGGCGTTGCCCAGCATGGCGGACTGGTAGTTGGGAGTCGTCGCCTGGTAGGCTCTGTAGGGATCCGGCTGCGGATTCACCGGATACTTGTGCAGGAAAGTGTCGCGACTCGGCGATGAGGAAGCGTAGAAGTCACCACGCATGTTCGCCAGATCGCTGCGATACATGAATCCGGAGGACTCCTCATGAGCTCGCTGCGAATATTGCGACTCCTTCGGGGAATTGTTGCGCGTGTGAAGATTCAAGGATGCCGATGGAGATGCCGTTCTGTGGATGAAGAGAGGAATTTCGTGTTAAGAAACTCTTCTAAAAATAACTCAATTTATTCAAAATCAATCTAAAAGTTGCCTTCTTTCCTAAGAATACGCAGCCGTTGGTTTTAACTTAAGGAAAAGGCGGGTTAAACTCATAAATATCTCTTAGAATTTGATTTTATCGTCTTTTATCACTTATTTTTACCACAATTTTAGGGAGAAAATAGTTAAAATCGACAGTCAAAAAGTGTCAATTATAGAATATCAAAGGGAAAACTAAAGGGTTGTTTGTAGAATATTCTTGGGTTGGTTATTTTTGTATTTCTGATGGTGAGTCTTAGCAAAACGAGGGGTCAAATTGAGTTTTTCAATCAGATTTACTAGAAAACAACCCTCCAGAGATCCTAAACCAACTCTCTTGGAGCAAAATCATCCCTTTTCTTCCGCAATAGTGTCTTCGCCACTGACCTGTAGGCGTTCATGAGCGTGGAAGGCGTCGCCGGCGGCGTCAGCGGATGCGGCTCGGAGTGCAGAGAGTTGTTGGAGCTGCCCGGCGAGCAGGGCGAGTTCTTGCCCGTGGCCGTGGACTTGCCGCTGTAGGGATTGTGGTGGTATGCGAAGTCCTGCATGGCCGAGGCCTGATACTTTGCCGGCGGCATGACGAGATCGTCATGCATTTGAGCCTGGGCGCTCTTGGCGCCCCGCGAGCTCCGGCTGTGGCTGGGCGACGACGTGGAGGTGGATCTGGAGTGTGTGGACGTGGAGAGGGATTTGGACTTCTTCCGTCGCGGCTGGTATTTGTAGTCGGGATGCTCCTTCTTGTGCGCCTGACGCAACTCTTCGGCACGTTCAATAAACACACGCTTGGCCTCTTCTGGTGTCCTTCTGCAAAGAATTGGATCCCATTAGTATCACCTTTCACCTCGTATCCCAATATATCTCCACACGAGTCCCCGAATGGCCGTGAAAAATTATTTCTGCACACTTATCAGTCTCTCTCTCTCTGTATAGCACGAGATATTTGGGTATAGCTAAGGCCTAAATAAATTATTCTGCGGGAACAAACCTCTCTGCAGATACTTTGTGTGCGGTGAAATTCCACACCCTCTCGTGGTATAATTAATTATTTGGACAATTCACAAAGTTACTCTATTAACAGGCATTTTTCCGTTTAATTGTTACCCAAGTAAACACAGAGAATTTCCAGTGAAAACGCCTCTATATAGCATGACATCGCATATATATAGCCAACAGAGCTTTTAATGTAATGCAAAATTCAATTATGTGCAATGTTAATATGATTGAAGTGAATGAAAAATCATGATTTTCCACAATTTTGTACTTTTAAAGTTTCACAGTGACACTCTTTAGGGAGCTTAAAAACTTTAAAACCCACATAAAAGCTTTCAGGTATTGAAGCGCAAAAACTAATCTAGAACTTGTGTTTTATTATTCATTGTTTGATAAATAGTGCAATTGAAATCTCAAAACAACACTCTATCCTCATTCATACATTCAGTGTAAAGCGAGAGAGACTCTCTGGGTGTGTGAAAAGGTATTTATAATCCCATTATTATCCTGGAGAGTCTTGAAAAGGAGTTAGCACGACGAGGACGATAGAATAGAGAGCGCTTTTCTCTTGACAAATCCGTAGATACATTGAATAGAGAACACGTTGATTGATTTTTGCACCTTTTCTCCATAGAAATTCCCAAGGATTCATCCCCACTTCTCTCCCGCATTTTCCATTTATATACACACTCCTCTAATTTTTTTCTCACATCGCCTGATGGTTGTTTATTTAGGAGCTGCCACGGTTGAATGTGAAGTATGACGAGTTTTCACTTGATCGGATTTACTTGCTTAGAGAATTTTCTTTACAACGATGAGGTGTTTTCTCTCTGAGAAAATCTCCTTGGCTTTCTCCACAGCGGCTCAGTGTCGACAGTGTGGGCGGTAATTCAGTGCTACGCAATCGTTTCACCCTCTCGAAAAGTTAATAACATTGAACATTTCTCCACACTGGATAATACCTGTGCATATGTAACACATCTCTTCATCGTCTTCATCGCATAAATGTCGCGGAGAGATGACAAAGTTGAGAGGCTGAATATTCACCCAGGTAAATTACTTTTGAGCCTCGCTCAGAGGTAATTGATTGAAGGATGGCACATCAATGGCATTCTGCGTGAAATTGGATGTTTATCCCCAATTTTGCATGTTTAAATCATAGATATTTGCCATGGAGACACATTTTTTCAAGGGCACGTCGGCTTTTTATTTGCCTTTTACTTAAGCATGTGGAGGCAAAGTTCGTAACATGAAATGTATGTTAATTCGCATCCGGCGTGTTGCTTCTAAATTACCACAAGTTCCTGTTTACCTGAGCCTAATCATAAGCCACGAAAATTTCTTACCCTCCGTGAACTATTTCGCCACGGAGTCTCAATTTCTCATCGTCATCGAATTGACAAAGAGTGATTTGTGAACACTTGGCTATTGACTTTTAGAGCCAGATGGCATACAAATTCTTATAACTTGATTCTGTTTGTACACGTGTGTAAACTGCTTCATTTAGAACTTTATTACATCTTCCCCCAATTTTTCCCCCCATCGCGAGTGCAAATTCTTCCTGGTTTACCACAGTGAAAAGACACAAAACTGAAGAAATGCAGAAGCTGAAGCAGTTGCAATAAAAATCGCGGGAAAAAGTGCTTGCAAAATGCTCCTCAGTGACCCTCAAATGATAACACTCGCGCGATGACCCGCGAAAAGTATAATATTATTACTAATTGTCGACGATCTCGCGGTTCCGCCGATAAATTAATTCTCTCTCTCGTGAATCCAAACACAAAAACACACACAACTTTCCCATCTTGTGCTGCTCGCGTAGATTCAGAGACTCAATGAAAGAAGTTTGGATGTTTTAAATTGATGATTGATGGCACGGAGTTGCGCTTTTATCTTTTATCTCCTCTCAACATGGTGCAATGTCTGAAGCATTTTTTCGACTTGTCCCTCCAGAGCTTTATCGCTTATTTGTGGAGTAAAAATTTTGTAGACTGTATCGCGCGCGACCAGCGGAATTTTGAGTGATTTGTTTGTAGAAAATTGCAGCCGCACAAAAAAGACCCGCCATAAGAAACTGAGCAAGAAAGGCACATATTTAAATTTTGGCAAGGTAATTCTGTGCGGCAGACAGTGTGTCATGCCCAAAAATTGAGTCTGATAACGACCAGGACATCGCGATAGCGGGAATCTCACTTGGCCTCGTTATGCAACACTTGAATACTTTATGCAAATAACCGCCGAATCCCCATGATTGAAGACCCTTTCGATGCACAGTCCGTCTGTACATAGAAGCTAAGCTTACACTGGGGAACAAATTTCTGCCCTTTTCATAAAATGTGGGTTTTTTGATACCTTGTGTTCATTTTGTGCCCTTATCTCGCTCAATTTTCCACGGATTTTCCCCAAATTAGGCTCAAATGATTGATATTAAAATTATCTACAACTTTGTAAAACATCGTGGGAACGTTAGATCACTCCTTGTTGGTCAAAAACGATCTTTTCTGCACCACATTTTACTGAATATCTCCGAAACGAAGAAACTTTTATGTCAAATAGGCTCCAGGAGGAGAACCTGAGGGTCTAGGAGGCTCGGTGAGGAATCTATTTCATGAAAAAAGACAGACAAAAGTGTGATTTTGTTCCCCAGTGTTATTGACGAGCATTGCAACCTTTGCCCCACTTTTCCTTGCTCAATCATTCTTTTTGTTCGCCGAAATCTAACATAGATTCCGAGGAATACACATTGCTCCTCAGTGTGTAATTGGCATGTGTGACTTTCTCTGTGTGTCTGTTTCTTCTGTGCGTCGCAATTTACTTGCTCTAACGACGACCAGATTTTCTTTTTGGCATTTCAATCACGCATGAGGATGGCAACAGATTAACGTGACACACACCTTCCAGCACAACAATTTCGGGCAACATTAGAGGCACTTTTGCAGGGCAATTAAACTGTGATAAAGACGCGATCAATACTCCAAATCTCGCACGATATGTCTATCAATTTGACTATTGCTTGGCAATGGCAAGCAGAGCGGAAATCCTACATGGTGAAATGTGGCCAGTGAGAATCATCAGACGCAGCGGGGCGTCTATGAAAACAGTCATTAAATAATTGAAAACGTGCCTCATTTGGTCCTTGAGTGCCAAAGTGTTATGATTCTCTGGGGCGGGGTGGGAGGGAATCAAGGGAATAATATATCACTTTGGAGAGACGCAGGAATTGCGCAATAATTGGCATCATTACTTACTTCCACAGTTCACCGAGGCGTTTGCTAATTTCCGAGTTCTGCAGATTGGAATTCGACTTTGAGATCCATTTGCGAGCCACTTGAGCATACACCATGAAGGCATTCATCGGTCTCTTCACGTGGTCCTTATTTCGTCCTGTGCGCGCCCTGAAAATTAATTACAATCATTTTCTTTTTAATTAAGTATATCTCCTCAGCACACTCATAAGATACACTCCCACCCAGTCTCCCTCCCACCCAGCGTGGTGGATAAATTTCAGTTAATTGCAAGAATCCGAGTCTCTGGATCTTAAATTCCATCAGCACAGACTCTCTCTCTCTCTCAACCCCTCAAGACGCGCGATGTGCAATTGAACCTCTTCGGGTGTGAAAAAGGAGCCACGCAGTTGGGAGAAAAAACGCTTCTTCCACACATATTCTCACAGTTCTCTCTGTCTTTCCCATTGAAGTGGAAAAATATTATCACCACCTTCCCGGCAATAAACTCATTTATCTGTTTGTTCGGAAGTTGTTCTTTGCTCACTGAAACTAGAAATTCTGACAACCGAGGGTTGCTCCAGACGTTTTTCTCCTCGTGAAACATTGCTCCGCCGAGGCTTCTTTCCCCGTAATACATTTGCCTTATCACCAAATTGTCTCTCAAATGGCGAGAAATAAGAAATTTACTACATCAACTGAGCAATTAGGCGCACTTTTCGGGAAGAAGAATATTTCCTTATGAATATTTCCCATAATTTCAGTCACTGCGCGTGGAAATATTGAGGAAGTCGTTTGTTTAACACATTAGTGAACTGTTTTTCAATGAAAATTGCGCTGGTAAATCTGTACAACACTTTTTGGGACATCTTTTCCGAACATAACCTCAAAATGTCACGAGGAGATCTTTAAAAACTCAGTCTAAAAACTTTCTAGATCACAAAATCAGCTCTTATAATTTGCAAATGAACATAAAATTGCTAATTGAGAGTCTAAATTGTCCAGAATGTTTCCAAAATCAACATTTTCCAAGTTCAAATTACTCTTTTTGATGTTATGTTTGACTCACAAATTGACGTTAAGAATGCGAATTGTGTCGTTAAATCTGTCCTTGATGTGTTACATAACCTAAAAAACAATTACTATGATTGTTTCTATGTAAGAATCAAAAGAAATCCAGAGAATCAATATAATTTGCCAGTAAAAAGCATTCAGAAAATTAATACTATAAGTTTCTGAACACTTCTACTTCGCTAAATACTGTACACCAGTTCTGACAATTATCTCCTCCTTGTTGTGAATTTTATCGAAATGATTTTTACGCTAATTCAATATTTTCCCAGATTGCAATAACTCGATAACATCTCCAATTCCGTGGAATCTCCACCAGAAATCACGAGGATTAGATAATAACGAAGTCTCGTAGCTTGAAACTGTCGCTAGAGTCGGCATTCGCGGTAATAGAAAAGGGTTGACTAATTGACTTGAATATCTAATGAGGAGTAATTAAATTAGAAAATTCGCGTAATTAAGCGTTTCATGGAATTCGCCTGGGGCATTTTTATGATTGTGTTTGATGTGAAACATTTGTGAGAAATTGGAGTGATTGCATGTTGTTTGCCTTACGCATTTCCTCCTCAATCTGCCCAGAGTCTCTGCAAATGACTTGCGCCTGGAAGTGACCTCAACCTCGCACTATCATACACATCATTCCGCCGCACATATCAATCCCATGTGCATGGCAGAAGTCCCCCCATCAGAGTCGCTCTCTCGAGTGATAGAAATTTAATATCAAAGCGTTGCGAAATCAGAGAATATTGTGCGCAGAGAAAAACGGCCAGCAAATGTTGGATCGCGATCATGATAAAGAGCCCGCGATGTACATATTTCTGCGTATGGAGGAAAAACACTTGATGGAAAATATAGTCCAGGACGAATAGCAGATTTAATTAAATACGCTCAGCTCTCGCCTCGTTTGCAGCGACGGCCGTAGATTGGGTGATCTCGTCTTCTGATATATTGGCTACAATAATTAAGCAAAAAGGGAAGAAAAGCGAGAAAAAATGCCACGACTCGACATGCGAGAGCCCGAAACTGGCGACATTTAGAAGAGGAAATCTAAATTCGCAGTCATCAGTTTTATAGACCATTTAGAGAATCACCAGTGACACGTTCAGCAGGCATATTTCTTCTCTCTCTCTCTCCGCATTTCTTCTTTCCCGCCAAATCATTCTGTCTGTGCGCGCGAGATTTCAGGAACACCGAGACCAATTGGAGAAGAGATCTCGATTAGCTGAGTGGCCGAAACTTGAGGATTTTATACATGAACTTTTATCTCTTAATTATGTCAATAAAAGGGCCAATCAATTGAAAATTTCGGTCTAATTGAACAATTCATTGAAAAGTCACAATCAAAAGTAGATTCTCTGGTGATCAGCCATCATCACAAATGGGCTTCCAAATGCGAGAAAATGCATGTCATACGATCAAAATGCGATAAATATCGCCTCATTGGATTCTCTAATATTTCATTTACAGTTCATTGTGGAGAGATTCTGCTTTGGGTGTCTTTAGAAACCTCCAAGAATGAGATTTGGAAATTGATGAAAACTTGCAGGAAACTTTACATCTTTCGCTTTAACTTTCAATGCTAAGCAATATTGAAAAGACATTAATTAGTGTTTAAAAAAAAGGAAAATCCTGATGGATTCAATTCAATAATCAAAACTAGAGTAAAAATCATAAAAAAGATTATTAATTTCCAAGTAGAATTAAAAAATAATCAAAAATTGAATATTTTCGGTAAAATGGTACAAAATATCAGATAAAACGGTGGAAAAAATCATAAAAATCTACCAGAAGCTAAATTAGAACTCCTAAAAGTAGGAAAAAGAGGCCAAAAATCAAAATTTCTGTAAAAATCAAGAAAAATAGAAATAATAATTTAATAATCACAAAATTATTGGTTGTGAAATTGCGAGTTCCTTTCCGGCTTGTACATAAGAAAATCTCCTTTGGACTCCAATCAAATTAATATTTCATGAAATGATTGAATGTTTCGCAGTTCAATCTGAGCTGGAAGATGAATAAGAGAGCACCGAAATGACACAGCAGTCAGTATCATCTGTGGAAAAGCATAACATTCAAATTATTGCCGCATTGCTGAGGCTCGTTTTTGTGGATCACACACACAGCATCTTATCCATATTCCATAGTTTCTCTTGTGCCATCTCTGATCATTTCCGATCGCGAACTCGGGCCGCCATGAGATGTAAAAGATGGGAGAATGAAGGGATAAAAAAAACCGTGATCGCGATGCTATCAAAAATTTTCTCATGTCGGGCTTGTTACAGTTTTCTCGAGTGTAGAGACAAATATTTACATTACCGCAGCATTTAATAGTGTTGATTTGAAGAAAGACACAAGTCGTTTAAATAGTAATAATGGCCTGTGTGACTATGAAGTATACTTCGTCACATTTAACCCCATTCAGAGGCACGGCGGAGTCCTAAACACTATACAGCTCGATGGCGGAAAAGGAGAGGCTCACAGAGCACAATATATATGGTTTTCTGATGAGTGGCGATGGAGGAAAAAAATGAAGAATTAGGATGAAAGGAGGCAAAAAAAGAGAACTGCGCGCCTCTTGACTCGATCTCGTCGAGTGCCACTCTCGACGAGAGTTGGAATAACAATTTCTGAGCCTCACCAAGCGCGTATCTCTCGTTACTCTCCGGGTATTTTCCCTCTAATTGTGTTAGTTTATTTATTTTTTCATCCCATTAATGGACACCGCCAAACAGTGATTTGGGATTCAATTGAAAATCGACAGTCAATTGATGGTGAAATTGCTGAGCTGCAGAGAATCATCGCCATTCGCCACTTCAACAATGCCGAGCAATTTCCACTGGGGATTTCTGCACACACAGAGAGAGACTTCGATGATATATTCAGCGCCCAGGATAAGCCATTGTCAGAGAGAGGGATATTCCAACATGGCAACCTGTGCACGATTTCCCATCAACAGCGCTGTGAATTGTCAGGAGAGTGACACACAGAAGGCTCGCATAGTCGAGAAAATCAATTATGTAGCCGAGGGTTGATGCCATTGAACCATAAATCCCCCGCGATTAATTGCACCACATCTCCGAAGATGCCATGGACAAAATATTGAGAAGGAATTGAAATATCTTGCATTGAATCCATCGTAAGCAGGACGCAATAAAATATCCATTCCATTTACTTTCACGCTCATAATGTTGATCGTAAAGTCCCCAAGAACGGACTATGACGCAGACCCTGGAATTCGATACATTTTCCCGAGCACATGTGTATTGATTAACCCTCACGATTTCACAGTTGCAGTGATTTCTCCGCCAGGCTTAAGGATATCGACAAAAAAGGCATTTTCCACAATTTTATCCAGGTTTTTCAGATTTTAAGAGCTGATTTCTGTCCTCATTTTCTAGTTTTGTCTTCGGTAAATGCTAAGAAAAATTCTGATCAAATTGTGAGGTTATGAATAAGGTTTAAAAATCCATCTTGGACTAATTTTACTTCTTTCAATCCTGAAAATGAGTAAATATAGCAAATATTTGAGGGTTATTTGTCGATGAGAAAATATTTTAAATCTATAACATAACCTAGAAAATCCGTAAAAATGGTTTTTCTAGGCATAATAATTTTTGAAAAAGTCTTTATTTGTTAAAACAGCAGCTTTTAGCTCTATTTTTTCGGGTTAACCGGTTACACATAATGCAATTTTACAATCTTCGAGCCTTTAAGTGCCTACAATATCTGTGATTCTGCGAAAAGAATCCCCAAAAGTGAATTTTTCCAGGATGGGATAAAGTTGAATGGTAAATCACGATGTTTTCCCTCAGCGGCTCAAAGTGAAAAGGCGTGAGAAATCATTACCGAGCCAAAATCGACTCTTCAATTTCATTTAGACCTCATCAAATGCGACCGTTATTCTTCCCAGAAATTCGATACTTATTCTACTCTCGTCTCCATTATTTACCATATACAACACCCACGCAATTTTCAAACCCCATCAAGCCTTCACCCCAGAGCATTTTGTGCCTCGCTGGGGCGTCGAAGGGGGAGGTTTCTGTGAGGCGAACTATTTGCGGAAAATGGTTTAACACCTCCGATGACAGTGTAATTTTTCC